CAATCACCAATGAAAAATAATTTAGCCAAAAATAGAGTTCGCTTGCAACCAAACTTTTGTTTTTCAAATAAACACAATCTTCAATTCATTTGTATGGCTGAAAATTCACGCAGAAACAAAACAAAGCCAAGAAATTTCACAAAAATTATTCTCAATAAATTAATACCACTAGAATCACTGTCAAGGCAAGCATCAGTTGGGGAGGGGTGTTTGCTGACAATTACTCGTATGGTACGACTAGGAGAGCCTGAGAGCAAGATAGACTCTGTCGGCATTTGGCAGCAGGAGCAGTTCAGGGAACCTGGTGGTCTCTATTGGCAATCCCTTCAATTTATTAGCAGTAGATCGTGCTAGTATGAGAGGCCTTCATTTCATATCTATCATTCCTCATTTTAAAACTAGCCTGTTAGTAAAATCAAATGCCTTCTCTAAAATTTGAATTTCTAAACTTCAAGTTTGCTGTGAAGGAACTAGCAGTTAAAAATTCCCTATGCCTTCCACTTAAATCATACAAAGACTTGAAAGTTGTCCTTCACATTCCAAACACACGTGAAGCTGTGAAACAAATCTCGTAGATCCTTCCGTTCCCTTGTGCAGACCTAAGACTTGTCGCATCATATGTTATTGCTACTTCTCTACAGAAAGAGTTGCAAACCTTGTGCAATGAAACGCACAAACAGAGATCTGGGACTTGAAGGAAAATTAGTAATGCGTGTGTTGGAGGACAAGGATGACATGTTATACCCAAAACACATAAATTAACCGAGCATCATCACCCTCGTCATTACCATTATATTGAGGCAACAATCAAATTTACAAATAACCGAAGTACCTATTACGTAACAGTGCCCATTTTGCCCCCAAAAAAAACAACCACAAATGAGATTGTGAACCACAGAATTGATATTAAAATGATACTACAGATTTGAAAGGGAGTTCAGGAGCGGTACCTTCAGATAGACAACCCCACTTGTTACTGTGTAGAGATAGCAGAGAAGTGAACAAGGCAGTGGAAGTAGCACTATGCAACGGCATCAATGACACCTGCGCGCCAGCCAACTGCTTTGGAAGCCTAAAGCACAACAACATCAAAAAAATTTAGGAATCAGAGCAGGGGAAACAGTCCTAATGCGTTAAGGAGGACTTTCAAATAACAATATAGGAAGCAAAGACTGTTGTATGTTGCACAAAGAAACAGATCATTCTCCCCGTAAATGATAAGAAATGTTGAGACTAATGCAAGGAAAAACGTCATTTGATTGTCTTCAAGAATAGACAGTAACCTTAATACGCTGTATACTGTAATCACTAGGTTCCAGAAACACCAAATGAGGGTTACATGTAGGGCAAGAAAATGATATAGTACGAACAAAGCAGAGGAATTCACCAGGAAAACGAGAGCGAGCGCCTCTGCGCAGCAACTCGAGAAGCAGACGATGCTCTGCATGAACCTAACCCGCCAAGTTTAGAGGCATCCGAAGTAAAAGCAGATGAAGAACGACGAGAAAGATGGGCTCTCGCAGAAGCGGAAGCGAGTTGGAGGGATTTTCTAGAACAGGTAGCCGCCATGCCTTGTGCTGCGCTGAATGCGAGCGAAAGGGAGTCCCTACTAGGAGGCAATTCACGCTCCTGCACAACTGCACAAGGAGGGAATCCCCGAAGGGTTGTTTCTGGGCTGGGTCGATATGAATTGATCGCTTGGTTTGCAATGGGCCTTTTTTCCATTGTGCTAACTTCAAAATGGCCTGAATTTGACCCTGCTCCCATATTTTCGAAAACGGGGACAAAAATTGGAATCTCCTGACCCACACTTGTTAAAAAATAGGGTTAATATAATTTTTTGACCATTCAAATTTAGACCCGTTTTAATTTTGGTCCATGAAATTTTAAACATGTGATTTTAATTCTTGAAATTTATTCCGTTACAAAATGTTAGTCCCTGGCCATTAAGTTTTGTTGAGCTGGCACAAACAATGTTAGTTTGGATAATGTGGCTTCTGACTTAACAATATGAGCTGATTAAGTGGTGTGATATCCCATTTAAAAATATATTTTTAAATCACTTTTCAATTGCATTATTTTTACATTAGCATAATTGTTTGATGATTTCTTAGGCAAGTATTATTTGGTAGATGCTGGTTATCCAACACAAATAGGACACTTTAACCTGTACAGACAGTAGCGTTATCACCTTTTAGACTTTAGCCGTCAACCAAGATTTTAAAATGAGAATGAGGCCTTTAATTATCATCATTTAAGTTTGAGATGCACTATTGAAAGAACTTTTAAGGTTTAGAAGAATATGTCTGTAATCTTAAGAGGTATGCTCAAATTCAAGTTTCAAACACAAGTCTGCACAATTTGTGCAGCAATAGCTATGCAAAATTTTAGCAAACAAAATTCTCCAATTTATTACCACTTTATACAAGTTGAATATGAAAGTGTAATAGATGAAGACAATAACTGTGCAGTTGATAAGTCATTCTTGTCAAGTTTAACATATGCCACACAAATGAATCATGTTTGTGAGTTAATCAGAAACTAAATTATACAAAGTTTATTATTTAATTAGTTATGTAACTTCATTTATTTCAAAAATGAACTTATTAATGAATTTTAATCTATGTTCATGTTTGTCTATTATATATATTTAATTATCTACCGTGTATTTTCAAAATTTTCTCACTAACAAATTTGTTTATTTTATAATTTCACCAAAAGAACAATTTTTATGTTATTATAATAATTATAGATATTTTTTTTAACTATTATCACATTAAAAATATATAATATTAAACACTACTATTCAATAAAGTTTATATCATTTTCAGTCATTTAACAATTTAAAATTATTTTTGTATTCATCATTCAACCAAATTTTAATTTTTTAAACTGATTTTTTATAAACTTTAATCATATTATATTAAACTGACTTGTAATCCAACTCATATTTATAAAAATCGGATGGAATAAAAGTGCTAATTCAAACACGTCCTTAATGCAGCAATGGTCCAGGTCATGTCATTTCGGAAAATCCAGTGACAAACCTGAATCCTACCGGGACCCGGACCCAGAGCCGGGAAAGCGCCATGAGTGGGACTCCAAGATGACGTGTCCAGGTGGCAAATGGCAACACCGTGATTGATCTTCGCCTTACTATTCGGATCTAAAAGACCCGCCTCATACACCCGAACCTCTGGAACCGAGTGGCAGTAATAGAGTAGATAAGGAAACAGGCTCTGATGATACGACACTGATTGGGTGACCCGCCCACCGTTGATCCGTTTGACCGAACCCACCACCACGCTCTTCTTCGAGGGAGTAACATAAACAGTGATGGTTTTGTCATTTCCCTTTTCCACAATGGGAATAAAAAAGAACCGCATACAAGTTTTACTCTGATACGCATAGTTTAATCATACAAATAAATATTAAGCACAGAAGTTAAACAAATAAAGAAATTAGGAACATGGCAATTAAACGTTTAGTGCATTCAATCTCGAAACAACTACATATGTGACTCCATGTCAGTGTATCGAAACAGTTGTCTTCCATTATATTGCCAAGTATAACGGAATTATCTCTCGATCATACAATTCTAAAATTACTCCCTCCGTTTCTTATTATAAGATATATTTGATGCTTATGACATGTTCCCATATATAAGAGACACTTAAAAGTTTTCTCTATTTTTTTGTATTGATTTCCTATTTTACCCCTATTTATTTTGTGTCCAACTCATACTCTCTCTTTCTTCTCCACTTCTCTTTCTTTTACTCCATCCGTTCCTTATTATAAGAGACATTTGATACTTATGACATGTTCCCATACATAAGAGACACTTAAAAGTTGTCTCTATTTTTTTGTATTGATTTCCTATTTTATCCCTATTTATTTTGTCTCCAATTCATACTCTCTCTCTCCCACTTCTCTTTCTTTTAATAATTTAATTGTTCTCTCTCATACTCTCTCTCCTTATTAATAGGGGCATTGTTGGAAAAAATATTATACTTTTTACATATTAATTGTCCTCAACTAATTTTAACTGTTTTTTTTATCAACATAATTTGGTTATTTGTCTCTTATAATAAGGAATGGAGGGAGTAATAATTTAATTGTTCTCTCTCATACTCTCTCTCCTTATTAATGGGGGCATTGTTGGAAAAACATTATACTTTTTACACATTAATTGTTCTTAACTAATTTTAACTGTTTTTTTATCAACGTAATTTGATATTTCTCTTATAATAAGAAACGGAGTACATTTCAAGGAAAATACAATAACAGGTCGTTACCCAAAAAAAAAAACTAGATTGTGTTTCAATTAATTATATATTATCTATAGTTAACTGATATTTTTTAATAAAATTTAATTGAGATTTGATAAGACTGAAGTTCACTTAATTAGAGTACGTAATTTATTCTATTTACGTTTTAAAAGAAAAGCAAGGTAACATTTAAAAACTGGATGATATTTCCCAACCCTATCTAATATTTTAATTTTATTTATGGCGGATCCAGTATTTTGATATCATTTTTCTAGATCTTTTAGCACCCGCCTCTTTACTATCTTCATCTTATTTATAATGCATTCAGCATTCAAAAATCATAAATTATAAGTAATATTAAGATGTTGGATGTAACTAAACAACAACATTAAAAAGTGTTGGATGGGTCAGAAAAATAATATTAGAGTATTGGATACACAATAAATTAAATAAATAATATTATTGGGTACAACTAAAAAAATAACATCAAAATACTAGATGCTATTTTATATATATATATATATATATATATATATATATATATATAAAGGCTGACTTAGCCTCTGATATTGCCTTGATTATTTTACTTATTGCAACTATTACAATCTGATTTAGCACATATCAAGGCAACCCCAGAAAATTACTGACAAATTTAAAATTATATATTTTTACTATAAGAATTTAAATGATAGCTTAAAACTAAATAATTAGAGATTCTAGGCGAGATCTTCTCATAAATATATCCGATTATGATAATTAATTAAACAAAATCTTTTATTCAGATCTGAAGCGCCTCGATTCTCAGACTTGATTGCTAAACCGAAAAGAAGTATGAAGGTGGAACGAGACGCCACATTTAAAAGTTTTCGAGCACTCCACACGCTGCGGATCCAAAACATGCGTTGGCATAATGTGTGCATTCACTGATTCGCAATCTTTTTATAACACGAATTTTAACACGTTTCAATAATTCTCAACCCTTTTCTTTAATAACATTTATTATTTTTTTCAAACTAATTTATTTATTTATAAACTGGTATATGTACTACTTCTGATACTTAATAGATAACATTGTTTGACTTTTATTTCGATCATAAATATAAAATTTCAATCCATTTTGTCTCTCATATTTATGTATTTTTTTCAAAATAGTCCTTCTAATAATAGTAGTTCTAACTAATACACTTGACTAATAAGGATATTTTAGGAAAAATAACACATATTTATTAAAAATAACTAACTTGACTTATTTTCTTAATCTATTCAAATTACTCAACTAACTCTCATATTTAGGATTATAGATAGTATAATCTAATGTTATTAGAGTACATTTTAGGAAAATTAGGCCCCGGCTGGGCTATAATTGTTATAATTAACTAATTTATTTAATTTTTAAAATTTATTAAAATTAGTTAAATAATTAGGTCAGAGCTTGGGCTTCACCGGGTTGTTCAAATTGCAGCATCATGCTGGCTTGCCCACTCCAATATATGCTGCCAACAATGCATCATAAGAATATATATAACACCTCCTCCAACCTTTAATATAAGAATTAGTTAATTAATTTGAGTATATTAAGGAAATTATTTAAGTTAGTTGTTTGTAATAAATAAGTGTCATCTTTCCTAAAATACTCTTGCTAATTAAGTGTTATTTGATGAAATATTTTATATATACAATTACTACAAAAACTATCTTTAAAAAATAGATAAATAAGAGAGATTAAATGAATTAGGATCTTATATTTAGAATCAAACTAAAAATTAATTAATTCTTATATTACGACGTGAAATTAGTGCATGCCTTTCAATTGCACTGAAAATTACCCGAGTACACGTGTTCTTGCAAATGATACTTTTGCAACAGATGATATTTAGGATATCCGTGTGTTACAGTTGACCACACTTCAAATAATTGCCCTGCTTTTGGAATGATTGTGTGAATTCTCTTTTACATTAACTTCAGCGTTTGCACATTAATTTAAGGGCAAAGCAAAAGGATATACTACAAATAAAAAAAATGACCACGTCGTGTGTTGGCTTGGTGCGTGTTGGGGGACCCCTCAAACCACTTTATTTATTTTTTAATGAAAATCTAATTAAAGCAGTAGCAACTTGCGTTTTGATTATTGAAAATTTGTGTCTGGAGAGCTGAACACGCTTTTTAGTTGTATCTTGTTTTTGGCTGTGGAGAAAGCGGAGGACAACTAATTAATTTCGGCCACAATGTGCTAAATGCCCGAATATTCTACTACCTCCGGTCCTAATTATAAGACCCAATTGACTTATTTGAGGAGATTAAGGAAGTAAGTTAAGTTAGTTATTTATAATAAATAAGTATTGTCATTCCTAAAATATCCTTGCTAATTAAATATATTGGCTAAAACTATTATTATTAGAAGGATTATCTTGGAAAAAAATACATAAATATGGGAGACAAAATGGATTTGGGTCTTATAATTAGGACCAAACAAAAAGTCAAATGGGGTCTTATAATAAGGACCGGAGGTAGTATATTATTTTGAGTCACTAATTTGAAATTCGAAGCTATCCAGATTTTAGAGATCACTCTTCACACACATCTAGATTATTAAAGCATTGTTAAAAAATGGACGCCAAATGATAACCACTATTCCACCTCTGATTTAAAACTCATATACCCCCTTTAAATGCTGATACGAATGCCATGATACATGAATAATATTATTAATCTTAAGCTGTACTAATACAAATTAATAATATACACTTTTCAATACTTTTTTTTTTTAACATAATATGCTCTTCATCCATATTTTATTTTATTATATGTTAGCAATCCGATCTCGATAAAATATTCCCAATCAGTTTTTCCCTTGCGCCCCTTCCTGATTCAAATTAAAGACCCATAGAGAAGGATAGCTAGACAATCACACACACACACACTAATTACCCCAGTCCGCAATCGACAGGACAGTACATCAGCGAAACCAAAATCCTACTGCTAATTCATTGATCGTTACAAGAGCCAAGCTCAAGCTCAACTACTCGATTTATTTTGTTTGAATTAGAGCGACATGCACTAACGATCTTAATTTATAATTTATAAGTGGAATTCAACCCAAAATCTCACATTTAAAAGAAAAATTTCATATCACTCGCGTACAAAGCTGTTGACTCAATTGCTCTAGTTCTCCATTGTTCTCCCCTTTTTATTCTTAATTCTCATGATCAGCAATAGCCCAGGTCATGTCATTCTGGAAAATCCAGTGACAAACCTCAATCCGACCGGGACCCGGACCCAGAGCCAGGAAAGCGCCATGAGTGGAGCTCCACGCTGACGTGTCCAGGTGGCAAATGGCAACACCGTGATTGATCTTCGCTTTACTGGTCGGATCTAAAAGATCCGCTTCGTACACCCGAACCTTTGGAACAGAGTGGCAGTAATAGAGCAGATAAGGAAACAGGCTCTGATGGCACGACACTGATTGGGTGACACGCCCGCCGTTGATCCGTTTGACCGAACCCACCATTACGCTCTTCTTCGACCCGTTTACGTTCTCAGTGGTTCGAACTGTTACGTCGTGGCCCAGAACTGAAATCGCGAAGTCGATCATGTCCTCGACGGAGCCCACGCACCGCTTGGTCTCACCCCGGCTCGGTGCCCTCTCGCACTCACCCAACGAACTCTCTAGAACCTTCTCCATGGACGAGTCATTCTCCACCTTGAATATTTGCTTCAGCTCAGAGATCTTGGAAGATGAAAACGGTAGTTTGGACAGGATGGATCGGGGCAAAAACGACCTTTCCGGCATCTTATCTCTTATATCCGGCATAGGCATTACGGTCCCTTCTTTGAGCATCGCCTCACGGAAGAATTTGCCCGGTTCCACCCATTTATTTACGATCCTGCCACTGGCACTGCCAGCTTCAGCTTTGGACGCCATGGAAGCGCTGTTGGTGGAGCTATCATTATTATATTCTGCGAATGAGATACCCTCTTTGGCATATTCTTTGAACTCGTGGGTGTCTTTCAAAACATTATAGCCTTTGAATCCAACCTTGGGATCGACGGCCCCCTTACCGTACTTAGTGAACGTGTCTGCGCCCATGTTGCCGTCGTTCCCATAATTCATGAAGTCAACTATTCCGCCGTTAGAGTTCTTCGCGTAGGATGTGAAGCCATCGGCGCCGACATTGGATCCATTTCTGTAATTAATAAAGCTTTCAATAGGTCCGTTGCCTCCATCTCCGTAATTTTTGAAGTTATTATTTGGGACGTTCATGTTGTCTCCGTAATTGTTAAATTTATCAGTCCCGCCATTCCCAGTCTCGCCGTAATTTGTGAAGTTAGACTCGATGACGTTGGAATGCGTCTGGTAGCTGTTGAATTCGTTGAGAGCTCCGTTCCCATTCTTGGCATAGCTGGTGAAGGTCTGGTCCCCAGAGTTTGACTCGTCGGAATAACTGGAGAACGATTGGGTCCTCGCATTAGTGGCGTCGGAGTAGGAGGTGAATCGGAGGTGTAACTCGTTGACTGAATCAGTGTACTGCTTGAACTCGCCGGCACCGCCGATGGCTCCGGTTCCGTAGGTGTGGAAGTCCTGTTCCACGTGCTCGCTTTGCGAGGCGTAGCTGCGGAAGTCGTCTTTGCGATCAGTGGAGCCTCGGCTGTATCGTCGGAAATCGTTCTGACTCGGCGTGAGGAACTGATTCTGGGAGTAGTTTTTGAACGAGTTACCTCCGCCGAGCTGATCCGATCCATAATTTGTGAAGTTTTTGGGATCTTGATAGACAGCGAAATTGCCATATTGATTGTGCTTTCCTGAGGTTCGTGCCGACTCTATCGAACAGACAAGGTGGGCGGAGGAGCAGAATTCATGGAGGCGCGTGGAGAGCGTATTGGTGGCTGCAAGCTGAGCAAAAGTCGCCGTGTCGACGGCACTCAGTGGAGAAGCCTTCGAGAGCAAAAACGATGGTTTTGGCAAATTGTTGGTGATCTTTTTATCCCAATAACGTTGCAGAAAAGCTTTTGGAGTGAATGGATTCTTCTCCCTCGCCGCAGCCTCGCCGGAGCCTCCAACGGCGGCAAAACTAACCTGCATTGATGAATGACGAATATCACCGCCGTCAAACCCTACTAAGAATGCCACAAACTATAAAGACAATGCAATGAAAAGGAACTAAGAAACAAAACTTACGCTGAAAGATGAATATAGGAGGAAGAGGAGGAAGGTGGTTCTCATGTTGGTTTTCAAGTTTCAACTGTATAGTTAAATTTATATCAGCTCATCAGAACCCGACTGCGTGTAAGTACAATCCTGCATGAATTTAGGAATACAGGAGATGAATAGAGATCGTAAGAATCGGCACGCCAGGAAAGGAGAAAAACAACATAAGAATCATGAAATCAGAATTCAGAGACACCTTGAGGACGTGGTGAGATGCTTGCATGAACGTGAGGATTGAGGAAGAAATCGCATTTATAGGCCATGAAAGCCTCCCATTGGTTACTCTATATGTACTAATCTCAAGAGCATCATAAATTAACTGTGCAATAAAATATCACTCTCACGTGTCCTAAATGTAGGAGCAGGCCAGGTAGCATGTTATTTTTCTTGTTTTTTTTAAATAAAAGACTGTATTTTATTACTGACTAAGGGAGTGTTTGGATGGAATCAAAATCATTATTTAAAAATATTTTTGCGGTACACAAAGTAAATATGTGGAAGAGTTTGTTTTGTTTTGCTGAAAAATACTTTTAAAAAACACTTTTGGGTGCTTCCAAACAATCCCTAAGAGTCACATAAAAGGACTAGAATCCTTCATCAAAGTCTACCTCATGGAGGATGCAAAAATTATCAATCATCAAGGTACATACCATAAGACTTCAACCCATTTTGTATATTATAGTATTTTTTTTTTCTAAACCCTTATTTAATTGCACATAAAAGATTTTTCATCAAGGAAGTAGTTCCCAGTTCAAATTAATTAATGGTTAAAAATGGCACTTTATGAAACCAACATACTGTGCATTCTTCATAAATGATTAAGCTAATTATTTTTTTAATTTTTATCAATTAGTAATTGACTAGTTCTTATATTTGATATCAGAATAAATTATCTGGATTTGTTCTTTTTTTCTTAGTTGTAGTTGGATTTGGTTTTTCAATGGCCTGACATATTTCAGTTCCAAAAATGTTCCTAGCAAACAAGTGACACATTAGACGGTGGCGGGATGCGTTGCGTCACCGCTACGGACTCTACAAGGCTCATTACCTCCGCTGAGCTGAATTCGGAGTTCATTTGTTAGAATTGGTTGTTTCTTTAATATATAATAATTAATAATTAATAATTAATATATATATAGTAATGTGTTTGGAATAAAAATACATATAGTGTGTTTACATAATAATATCATTAACTCCTATACATCGCTCTCATGAATTATTAGTTAAAATCTTAATTTCCTCAGTAAATGTATATCTTTTCAATTTTACCCTTGAATAAAATAACTGTCTGCCTCTTTAAATTAAAACACCCCTCCTTGATCATATGACGTAACGATAAATGAAGGAAATGTATAATTGCAAAATATTACTCTCTCCGTTTCATGATATTTAAGTGGGTTAGAGTATACGTTTCGTCCTATATATTTACATCAAATGTCGGTCTAGCCGATTAACTTTATAAAATGTACTTTTAGTTATATAATCCTAACATTATAAGTCTTAATTGATGGAAAATACTAACCATGTGTTAGTTTTATAAAACTGTTTTCTTAGTCATATACATTGGAATTGCCGATAAAAATCTTTTATAATCAGTGAAAATTTAAAAAAATTATAAATTTGAAAAATAAAATAAATTAAGATTTTATATTTATTATCAAATTTAATCCTAACTAACTTTCTGGTTAAAAATGTTGAGATGATAATGTTATGTTATGATTTTATTGACGTTATTACCACTAAGCATGATTCAGTCATACAAATAAGTAGCGGTGAACAAAAGTTAAACAAATAAAGAAATAATGCAATTGGCAATATAATGAAGCACCAGCAACAATGCAGCATGTGACTCCACGTGGGGGATCGAAATGAAGTGAGACCAAGGTATCTAAAGACGTGTGCACCCCACGCTGCAGATCCTAAATACGCGCTGCCATAACTTGTCAGTGAATCCCAAAAACTTTTTTTAATACAAAATTTAACACGTTTCAATTAATATCTTAAGTGGTGAATCCCACTCCTCTAGATCTGGTCTTGTTTATATGATAGAAGAAAAAAACAAAATATTTTGTTAGTCTTGCTTATAAGATATTGAGAGAAAAAATTGTGTGGGGATACAATTTTACTTTTCATTAATTATTGTGTTGACTTTATTTATAAGATGTATAATGTATATTAAATAAGGACAAAATTAAAAAGTTGTTGAATTTTAAATAAAAGTTAATGAAGTTTTAGATTTTTCTTGATATGTGTGAAACATGTTAAATATGACTTATAAATAAAGTCAGAGGAGTATATCAGACCAAATGGATCAATAACGTCTTATACTCCTCTAGTCTTTTGTATAAGAAGTAATCATTGAGTTGGTTTTGGTTCTAAAAGTAAGACCTATTTATCATATTTATCAATTTCTTTTCTAAATTGTTTTTATTGATACTTCCTCAAACAAAATCAAATAAGAGAGAGATAGAGGATATTGAGAAAACTAATTACAGTGTTTCAGAAAAAATATGTCATATTTTTTATAATTAACTAATTTACTTAACTTCTTTAATTTGATCAAATATAATTAATTACATAAATCTTATATTAAAAATCGGATGAGTGTTATCTAAGACTAAATCATGTTTATATATTTGATCATGAAAAGTAATAGCCTAAATGAGTGATAATAATAGTACCCCTCTATGATTTTGCAAGGATCAGACACCTATTTTTTTCAATACTAAAAAAAAAAGTAGGTTGATATAAGCATAAGATTGATTTTATTTTCTTAGTGCATTTAATATCCGACCTTTTTACAAGGCTCATTTAGCATCCTAATATTATTTTGTGATACGTTTAGTGTCTTAATTTTATTTTTACTATAATTTTCACTCAGTTGTAAATCAAATCACAAGTGTTAACTTAATCTGTGACTCAATCTTTGGAATTCAACTCAATATAATACAATCCTTATAATTTTAACAATTTAATTCTCTAGTCCTATTTATAAATTACAAATATTTTTACACAAATCAAGAAAAATTTCAAACTTTATTGATGCTCGCTTAAAATTTAACAACTGCTTAACTATATTCTTATTTAATATACGTTATACCTTATAAAAATAAAGTCAACACAATAATAAATGAAATGTAAAACTGTACAGTCATATGAAAAATTTTTCTCTATCCTATAAATAGGACCAAAAACCTTCTTTTTTCTCTACTCTATAAATGGGACCAAATGAATAAAATCTAAGTTTAGTGAAATATGTAATTTTATTTTTTAAATATAGAAAGTAAAGATTTAAATGATTAAAAGTACAGAGATTAAGTTATAATTGAATAAATTGAATTGTATTGAGTTAAAATTTAAAAATTGAGCATTTTTTCTAAAAATTTGGGGTGTCATGGTGGGCTTAGTGTGTGTTTGATTTTGACGGGGACCCTTCAAACCACTTTTTCTCTTTTGGGAAAAAAATCTAAAAATAGAAGCAACCTGGGTTTTGATTATTCGAAAATCGCGTTTGGAAGGCTGAACGCGCTCTTGTCTGGCTGTATATCACGTGTTTGTTTAGCTTTGGAGAAAGTGAACGTTTTGCCCACCTTGTCCATGTGCTCCAGCACTTTCACCCGCTCTGAATACTCTTCAACAGAAACTTTACACCCTTTATTTCATTTGTTTTTTTTTTTTTGATAAATTTTATTTCATTTGTTTTCTCCCACTCTCATTCTCACTCTTGGATTGAAAATTGAATGGCTGACATTTAATACTACCTCCAATTCTAATTATAAGAGCTAGTTGATTAATTCGAAGAGATTAAGAAAAAAATTAAGTTAATTATTTATAATAAATATATGTTGTCTTTCCTAAAATATCTTTGTTAATCAAGTGTATTCATCAGAACTACCATTGTTAGAAGAATTATCTTGAAAAAAATGCATCAATATGAGAGACAAAGTGAATTGTAGTCTTATATTTAAGACCAAAATAAAAGTCAAACAAAATCTTATACTAAAGATCAGAAGTAAAAAAAATGATTTTATAAAATATTGCCGTAATAAGAAATGGGAAGAGAAGATGATACAAATCCTTGGCAGTTCGCACCCTTGACGAAGCTGCCCAATTGTGGTCGATACTGGCTTCCTCAATCGAGAATTTGGTTCCACCACGTTTAAAATAAATATCCTCTGCAAAATCCCCATTCGAATAGATAAGCTGGACAGGTATAATAAAACTTCTTCATCATGAATATTGAAAGTATTTGGACGTCCCACATTGCTTGCAATTTGACACAGTCTACTGTTTATAAAGTCCATGTTATGCCCGCCTCGTCGTCTTACTTACATCGGTTCCAACACTTTCTCTTGATTCTATTCTTGAACAATCTCTCCTTGCTACGAGGAATGCCTGGTTTAACCAGAATCATCTTGTTAGCTTTTAGAAACATGTTACCTCTCTATTGCCTCTTCTCTATTGCTTCTTTGAGTAAGCTTAGTACCCGTATCGACTTGAGTTCTCACTTAGCATCTTATGTGAAAGAAATTTTGTTTTGATTTATATGAAATTTGTGAAATATATTTATAAATGATTTTAACTGTGATCTCAGCCTCTGTATTGCCAACAATTCTTCTTAACAAATAGTGATATGTGTACTTGTCACCAAAAAAAAAAAAATGATAGTGACGTGTGTGCATTGAAATCTATTTCAAATGGCTGCTACTCGAAGGTTCAAGTTCTTTTTCGGACAATGGGCCGTCCTGATCAATTGGCCCAATTACAGCTTTTAGTTTTGGTCTATAAAGCCAGTCTTATTTCCAATTAAAGAAGGGTTAAGGTGCACCCAGCACCCCCAAGTATTTTGTCAGGTGTACCCAGTGGCCTAAAGTAATTTATGGTGTAATTTTGCCCTCAAAGTAATTAAAATGGTACACCGGTATCCCATGCTAACAGATCTGTAAGTTTGACCGTTAAATTGATGAGTCAGCATAAGTTTGACCAGAAAATCTGACGTGGCATGTCTAATAAGCAGGTGATGTGGAATTTTTTTGGGGTTAAGGTGCATCCAACACCCCCAAGTATTTTTTCAGGTGCACCCAGTGACCTAAAGTAATTTATGGTGCAATTTTGCCCTCAAAGTAATTAAAATAGTGCATCGGTATCCTATGCTAATAGATCTCTTACTTTGACTATGAAATTGATGAGTCAGCACAAGTTTGACCAAAATAATCTGACCTGGCATGTCTAATAAGCAGGTGATGTGGAATTTTTTTCGTCTGCCACTGCTTTGTTTTCTCTGTTCAGTAAATGCTCTCTTTGGCTCTTGGAATTTTTTTCAGAGTAAGAAATTTTTTCAGAGATACTCTTCTAGTCCTATTTATAGGGTAGAGAGAAAAGATATTTTTTGGTCCTATTTATAAGGCACTGAGAGAAATTTTTTGTATGGATGTACAAATTTACCCCTCATTTATTATTGTATTGACTTTGTTTATATGAGGTATAATGTATATTAAATAGGGATAAAGTTGGAAAGTTATTAAAATTTAAACGAGAGTTAATGAAATTTAGGGTTTTCCTTGGTCTATGTGAAACATGCTGGAAGTGCCTTATAAATAAGACCAGAGGAGTAATATTCAGACAAAACAATGAAATTAACAAGAAAAGTCATGTCACCTGCTTATTAGACATGCTAGGTCAAATTATTTTAGTCAAACTTGTGCTGACTCATTAATTTCACAGTCAAAGTAGCAGATCTGTTAGCATGGGATATCGGTGCACCATTTTAATTACTTTGAGGGAAAAATTGCACCATAAATTACTTTAGGCCACTGGGTGCACCTGGAAAAATACTTGGGGGTGCTGGATGCACCTTAACCCCGAAAAAATTTCCACATCACTTGCTCATTAGGCATGCCACGTCAGATTTTCTGGTCAAATTTGTGTTGACTCATCAATTTAACGGTCAAACTAACAGATCTGTTAGCATGGGATACAGGTGTACCATTTTAATTACTTTGAAGGTAAAATTGCACCATAAATTATTTTAGGTCACTGGGTGCACCTGATAAAATACTTGAGGGTGTTGGGTGC